CGCGCTGCGACTCGTCCGCTGACCCGTCTGCGTCTCTGCCTCTCGCCGCGCGACGGGCCTCCTGTCGGGTACCCGTAACAGCTTACTCACCTGAAGGGAAACCATGGCCTACCTCGCCAGGGCAGAATTCGATCCTGGATTTGAACCTTTATGTGCGTGTGATAAGCGGTGCCACCACACCATCCTTTCCACTCTGTCTGAAAGTCGAAAATGGCTTCATAGTATTTAAAGGAATCTTCCACGGAAAAAGCTCCGCCTCCATTACCACAGAAAAACGATACCTTAGGCCCCTAGCCTCATGAGCATAGCAAAAAGAACGGAACATAAGCGTTAGTTTCGATAATACTAATCCTACACATCCTTTCCGTGGAAATCCTTTAACACGTTGACGACATCGCATGTTTTGGCATTTTGCACCTCGTGGGACAGGAGCGATTTTGCGACCGCGCCGTCCTCACCTTACTTACGCTTATTTTTTGTTAAAAATGCACAATAACTTGAATTTCATAGGACTATTTCGGCAAGGACGATCGCACAAAGGTTAAGTATATAAGTAGCAAAAGGTTTTCGTTTAGAAGAGCGCATAATAACCACGAAGAAGTAAAAAAAATCACTTTCGCTGCGAATGAAATTAAAAGCATTTATATCTAAGTACTCCCATCAAATCAAATATATTGAAACTCACAGAGTTTTGTTTCAACTAACTCTAAAATCTTTCATAAGAATATTGACGGCAGTGAAAGTATTATTAAGAAAGAATCGGAACGAAAGTTTTGTGCGTTCGGAAAATCTTTGCTTAATCAAAAGATACTTGACCACTCTAGCTGCCAAGCGGTTTATAGTCATGCTAATGTATTATCTATAGAATGAATACAAGAAACCCGAGAGGAAGGAGCGCAAGCACGATAAAAGTGAGTAGCATAGACTTGACGCGCTTGCGCGTCAGAATGTCCGATGCGGTGCGAAATTCTTGACGCGCATGCGCGTCAGCTTGTCGTCAACGTGTTAAGTTCGTTTCTGGCGTATGAGGGCGAGCATTTCAGTAAGAAATTCCTTCACCAAGAGGCTGTCCCTTAGTATCACTACGTACAATCCTATGACTTCAGAAAGGAACACAGTCACGACGGGAGTGTCTTTCCGCCATGAAGCTTACGATCATTTCGTTTACACCGAAAGTTACAGAGGAGTTTGAAAGTGTACTTGGGCAATACATGATTCGCGTGAGTCCACCGATGCTCATTTCTATTTTACTGCATTTGTAGTAATAGGTGGGATTTAGAGTGATGTAAAACGTTTGCAGCCGCAATAATTCTTCCTGACACCTATTGCTTTCTCAACATTTACGTGACATAATTTGGTCCGCATCGGAACTTCCAAAACCGTGCTCTCGCACCATCTTACTACAAAAGTTCAGTGAGTCATTGCTCCTTCAAGATTAAGAAAAAACAAAACGATTGATGTCACCAGCCAAGAAGCGGATGTACAGGGCGTATTCCGCAAGTATAAGCGACATGCTGCAAAGTCATTCCATTTATCTTACATACTTCATGTCCATCTTGATACTAGGCCTATTTCAACCCCTTTCTCAACGAAAGTGCATCACTGCCGGACGGTAGCCGTGTCCCAATACACTAAAGCGTGAAAAAGTTAATTACCTTTCCCACTGCCGTGTAATCCCTCTGTCCTATAACTAAGAGCAGGCGCTTTGTATTGGTAGGAAGAAAAGGATTAGTTCGCATGGCCGGTTCGCTTTCATTCGTATTCCGAGCGCCTCTATCAAAAAGCTGATGTCTCTCCACTGGCTACAACACCTCGCACTACTCTACATATCTTCTCATGTAATTCAATGCGATCAGCTGTTGCAAAAGGTCACCACCAACGACCTAACCGTGAGTCCCCCTAAGGAACCTGGGTGCATTTTTGGTACTCGAAATAGAGAGAATCAGTATAATTTATCTTGACTTGTTTTTAATGTTGAGTGGCAACTTTGGCCGCATGCAAGCCCATGCCCAAAGTCACTCCATCGCCGTATCGGAAACACTTTCGCCTGCTGCTCCGAACACGCCTGCACATCGTACTTTGAGGACTGTTTGATACCAATTAGCCGGGTACGCTTCACTCTACCCAACTTTGATGATACAGATGGGGCATCAAGTAGGCGTGGTGACAAAATTTACCCTACGATAACCAACGACAGACAGAATATGCATCGTTCTTGACCTCAGATTCCAATTGTCTTTGCTCGTACTAATTCTAAGATGGATCGTCATGTTTTCAAATGCGTTATTTGAGAATTCTTGCACCCATCCCGTGGTTTCTAGTTCCACTCCCGAAACGATGAATTTCTATACCTCCGCGCTGCTGCTGATTTCTTCAAAATTGTCAATTCAAAGGTCCATCGCAATCCGCGTCCATATTTCATCGTACTGTGAAAAATGATGGCTTCTGAGAGAGGCCGGTCCTTATGGTAGTCTAAGGGTTGCTGAGAATATTGCCAAAAAGCTATCCATCACGGTTTATTGAGGACCATGGTAAAGTTGGCTACAGCATCGGCAGTATCAGGATAAACGGTGTGCAGAAGTCCGCGCGCGTGACGTTGAATCTACACAAGACTTTGTCTGGGAAGGATAAAAACTGAAATTTATCATTGGCTTAGTAAAGTCCCATAGTAAATCGTTTCAAATTGCCGCTACATACGAATGAAGCAGAATGCATCGCATCCCATAGGAATTACAACAATCCAAATGTCTTCATCGTTTCATCCTTTCACACTGATCTTTAACTGTACATGAGTCGGTTACCCCCAAATCGCCATGAACGCGCGAGGCTGAAAGCTGGTTGTAATGAATGATTCCGGATTGAAAAAAAAAAGTGCCTATAACCCAATAAAAATAAATGCTCTCGAAGATCTAGCCAAGATAGGAAAACAAGAGGGAGGCATAATTGAGGCAAAACAGATTTCTGACAAAAAACCGGAACCGGAAACTCACTCCCAGTTAATTTTTCAGAAGATGGCCGAGTTTGGCGTAATAACTTCGCGACTTTGATGAGCCAGCAGTCAGCACCGAACTCCATCCGTTCTCTAAGTACTTCGACGAGTTAAAACTAGCCACTCCGTTTATTAAAGTACGGGTATTACTCATTTGTCACTTAAAAGAGGTGCTCTGCGTGCCAGAAGAAAAAGCCCACAAACTTTGCAAGTTTAAGAAATACTTCGCAAATTTAATTTCTCACAAATTTTGAAATTTAGATATACTACGAACACTCACGATACGAACACGTCATTGACAATCCAGCAAAGTGATATTCTTCGTATAGCACACATTATTAAAAATACCCTAATTTCCGGTGTATAAGCCCGCGCCGATTTCACGTAAAACCACCCCCGCTCGCGCAGTGTAACTTTGTACACCTTAGAAACCACCGCAAATTTGCCTATAGAGGTAAGTCGATGCCCTGATCACGAAAATGACTTTCATTTTCAGCGCTGGCGCCATCTGGCGCCAGTTGGCGCCACCTTGTCACGACCCTTGTTTTCGTCAAAATCGGTGTAAACTTCAGTATAGGGGTTATTTGGGACCCTGATTACGAATATGACATTCATTATAGGCGCTGGCGCTGTTTGACGCCTATTTTCTGCTCGTCTGCGCTCTCCAACCGAGACATGTGCACTAAACAACGTTAACGCCAAAAACGAATGTCATATTCGTAATCAGGGTCCCAAATAACCCCTATACTGAAGTTTACACCGATTTTGGCGAAAACAAGGGTCGTGACAAGGTGGCGCCAACTGGCGCCAGATGCCGCCACCGCTAAAAACGAATGTCGTTTTCGTGATCAGCATATCGAATTACCCCTATGGGCATGTTACGGTTGACTCTAGATGTACTCAAGTACACTGCACCAGTGGAGGTGTTTTTACATGATACTAGCGCGGGCTTATACACCGGAAATTAGTAGTATCTTACCACAATAATTCCCAGATCACTTCGAAAGGAGCACCAGCCCACTTCAACGGCTGTCTTCAAGCAAGAACATCATAAACATGGACTCGGTTCTGGTGCCAGGCAATTCACCTTTAGTTCAATCGTGTGTACAAATGGTAAGCGATCACGTCGCAATTTTAAAATATAGACAATCGACCGTTTTCAGGTTCTTCTATAAATTCGATACGGAAACGTTTTTTCGAAAGGAATGCGTCGAACAGTGGAATACTCCATTATAAGTGTTGATTTGCAGTTAACAGTTTCATAACGTTTACAAATGGAAACGGAATGTGGGTAATTTACGGTAAAGCACGCAAAGGTGACCCTCGAAAAATCCGTGCTCGTTAACTTCGGCTATTCTGTGAGTATATAGCAACACCCCCACCTGCTAATTCTGGTAAACCCCCGACAAGAATCCTCAGCGCACTAGTCCGCCGAATCCGTTCGCTTCGCCCATAACTCCCGTAACAAACCCGTTCTAAATGATTTGAAGTTGAACATTAATAGCAAATTGCTCGAAGCCGAATACATTGTCTACAGTTCACGTTCGTGCACGCATCCAATGGTCTAGTTCGTTTCGGCTTTCCTTCGAATTTTTAGCCTTATTTTTGCAAAATTCGGAGTTTGAGTCTCTGCTTGCCAATAGCAATACCTGCGGACATAACACCGTCATCAACCCTCCAGTGCGACTAGGATTCTCGATCGTAGGGTTGGAAAATCAAAAATATCAGCATATTTGGATAGATCTCGAATCCGTGATCATTTCAATATGTATTTGATCTGTCTGGGGAGAGATCATCATCTACCTCTTTTACCTATTTATTTATTTACTCACACATACATATTTACTTACTTATTTATTTGTTTATTTATTTCTACGTCAAAAAAGCGTTGTAACATAGCGAATGCAGGGAAAGTAACAAATATTAAATAAACAAGGGTCATGCCATTTTTATGGGTAAATCTCGGAAAAGTCGACTTTTAATAAATAAATTTTGAGTTCATGTATTTCAGGGATCCTCCCACATATGCGACACGATTCCACAAACTGCGATTCGCCGACTGTGTGGCTCCAGGTGATCCATCAGCAAATCGACGAAGCTACATGAGATACGATGACATGCCTGGGACGAATTAGTTTGCTTCCAAGTTGCTTGATATGAACATACAGATCTAACACGTGTGAGAATTGAACAATATCCTTACTAATAGTTCAAAACCCTGGAAGAAGGGAACTTTACTACAACAGTTCAAATTTGAGTGTGCATGATTTCCCGATTTGCTTTTTGTCTGAGTTGATAAAATGTATAAAGAGTAACAATTTACTTCGATTGCACTCACCTCTCTTCGACATAAAAAAGTCTCAACACATCAGTTTGATGACTGACATAGGAGCAGGAGCTAGTCAATCAAAGCAAAAGCATAAGGCATCTGGTGTCGATCCAACGCCGCGCACTCGAAGGGCTTCCAATCAAACTCGTAGCCGATAAGCAACTCAGTGCTTTTATCCTTCCACGCACGTCAGCGCGCATGAATATCCCAAATTAAGTTAAGGATGGTTAGTGATACAAGAAAGAGGAAAAACCATGAGAAACGGCCCGGAATGAGAAATGGGACCCCTTTCTTGCCCGTTGATTTCCGCATTGATGCGACTCTCATCGTGCCCTCTTCAACGCCAACGCCTTTCTGCTATGTCGGTGGGCGTGCCGCGCCAACT